AGTCATTTCGTCCAGTAAAAACATAAAATCAGCGTTGTGTTTGTTGTATCAGACAACACCAATGAAAGTAAAACAAAACATGCAAATTGACCAATCAGGGCGCAGTTGACCTCATACAAGTTTTTATTACTTGGTTGTTTTTGTTTTCTCGTTTTTTACTTATCAATTACAACATATACTTTTTTCATTTTTCAAAAAAATCAACATTTCAATGCTGAAATGTGCATAGACAACACTCTATGTAAAACAACTTTGCGTAAAAAAATACATTTAGCATTGAAATTTTCTGACGTATGACAGGTATATCTATTTTTCTGACAAAATCTGTCTTGGATGTAACATGGACTCGGATTCTGAAATCCCCAAAAACGTTTCTGAACCAAAAATACTTGTTGGTCGCAAAAAATTGTGTCCTGTTAAGGCCATTAACAATTTTTGTGAGTAAAACTTATTTGATAGCCTAAAATTGAATTCATTAATATTCATAGCATTATCTTGTTTAAACCCGAATTAAATTGAGAACATTTTTTTCATGAATTTGACAATTTGAAATATTTTCCGAAATGAAGAGTCTTTGGTGTCTTGTTACGTCCAAGAACTTGACATCAAAACTGTGTTTTCTTAATCATTCAAAGCAGGACTATCTCAATGTTAACTGGTATTGAAAGTGGGCATATCCAATCGATTTTAACCAATTTCCACAACAAACTAAGAAACATCTATCCACCACTGCCTCTCGGACGGTTGGTTTACTATAGCAAGCCTTTTACATATTTCAATTTGATACCTGTGACTTTGCAAATGGGTAAAGGTAATTTCTTTCTGCAAACTTTGTCAGAATTCATTCCAAAGATCTACCAGCCAAATATCATGCTTCTCGAACTTTTGGTTAATAAAAAAAGTCGTTTTGGTGTTTTAACAAATATGACAACCGTGACCTTGAATATTCGTCAATAACATTTCGTTTCGACTACTTCTCCGGTTTCATCTCAGGAACCTATCAGCCAAATACCATGCTTCTAGAACTTTAGTTCAATCAGAAGAAGTCTTCTTAAGGTTTTAACAAATCAGGCTCCTGTGGCCTTAAACAGAAGTCGATGTCATTTCTTTTTGCGAATTGTGAATTTATACTAAGACCCTATCAGCCAAATATCATACTTCTCGGCCTATTGATTAGTCACAAGTTTTCTTTAGTTTTAACAAATTTGACATGTGACCTTGAATATATGTCAAGGTCATTTCTTTTCACAAACTTTGTCAGGTTTCATCCTTGGAATCGGTCAGTCAAATATCACGTTTCTTGGCATTTTAACTGATCAAAAGAAAGTTAACTACTGTGACCATGAATAAAAATCAAGGTTATTTCTTTGTGCAAACTTCTTCCGTCTTCATTCAAGGAACTTGTCTTCTCCTTCTATGACTTGTAGGTAGCCAGGAAAAGTTTAAGGTTTTAACAAATTTGACCCTTCAATTGGGGTGATGGTCATTTCTTTTCGCAAACTGTGTCAGGTTCAATCTTAGGAACTCATCAGCCAAATGCTATGCTTCTTGGCCTTTTGGTTTGTCAGAAGAAGTCGTTTTATTAGCCAAGGTAACTTCTGTTTGCAAGCTTTGTCTATCTTCATCCTTGAAACTTATCAGCCAAACACCATGCTCCTAAGCCTTTCGGTTAATCAAAAGCTGTTTAAAGGTTGTTTTTTTTTTTTTTTTTTTTACAAAATCGACCCCTGCGACCTTCACTATGGGTCATTGTCATTTCATTTCACAAACATTGTCAGGTTTCATCCCAGGAACCCATGAGCTAAATACCATGCTTCTGCACCTTTTTTTATCAGACAGAATTGTTTTTCGTGGTTTCCAGCAACCTACCAGCTAAATATCATGACATGTGTGCCTGTTGGTTTTTGAGAAGTTCAGATGAGCCAAAAAATGCTATCTAGATTGTAACATAACTACATTACTGTGTCACAGCATTCCACACACAAATATGCACTAGTAACCAACACCTCAGAATCAAGTGATGACGAAATCCTAAGGAAAATAACTTGTCACATTTCAATATATGTACTCAGTTTCTAATTAACTGATACATTTCTAGACTAAACCAAACTGATTTTCATTTGCCATGATAGATAGTGGTGGGAAAAGGGTAACCAGAGATGTCCTAACGAACCCCTCCCAACAGACCACAGCCAAATGTATCAAGATAGTTAGCTAAAGGTGTTTACTGGTTGTTTGTTTCTTTTATGAACTTGTTATAATCACACTGTAAACAAAACAGAATATATTCAGGGTGGACTGTGTTGACTGGTGCACACAGTCTCCCACTACAATTGTATGTTTGTATCTATACAGCCATTTCATACTACAAGGGAGGTAATTTCATAACTGTAAATTATGTATTACAAATTCTTTCTTGTACTCTGAAAATTATATATACAATGTATATGTAAATATCAAAATCTTGGTTTTTGTATGCAAATACAAATGTGGGATTGTCTGTTACATAATTTGCATGTGCACATGTCTGCACGATATGGCCATATTGTATCTGCAATAGGAAAACCATAGGAAATTAGCTGTCACAGATATGCACACATTGTGAAGTTTTATAGCACAGATGTGTGATTCTATCCTGGTCCATAGAAATGACATATAGCTATGTGTGGAATATGGTTTATTTTTATAATATATAAGATTACAACAAAGCCTATTTCCTAATTAAGCCATGTATCTGTAGGTTAAACACAGGTAGATCTGTCAGGTACAAACTGAACAGTTATATATACTCATTATTTAGAGATTACTCTCCTATTTCTATCATTTTGTTTACAAAAACTATGGTAAAGAATTAGGGTTGTTTTCTATTACAGGGGAGACCTGGCCAGTACTGATCCCGACCTTTCACATATAAACCAGGTAATTTTTGTTGCCCCAGACACACCACTTGCTACACTCTGAGGTGTGAAACTATACACTAGGGAGGCTAAATAATGCTGGATCCAGTGTTATTTAGTAAACTGTCAAATTACAAATGACCTTTATCATCACCAATCAGTGCAATCAAATATACCTAGGAATCCTATTTAGTCTTAACTACAAGAGTTTCCAATTAAATTCTAATTGATTAGTCAACCATTTTTACCAGTTGTATCTGGATACTGTATGCTGTGTGTGTGTGTGTGTGTGTGTGTGTGCGTGCGTGCGTGGGTGCGTGCATGTGTGAGTGTGTGTGTGAGGTTGTGTATGTGTGAGGGTGTCTCTGTGTGTGTGTGTGTGTGTGAGGGTGTGTGTGTGTGATATGACTTCTTGGTACTTTACCACACCTGTACTATTTCTGTATCACCAGTGAAAGCACTTACTGCTATAGTCATTTGTTTTTAAAAAAAAATTACAGGAATTTCAATGTTTAAAATCCTTCATGCCATTTCGTTTATACACATCACAAACTCAGATATTTTGTTTCAACATTTAACATTTAATCTTAACAATCAGGTTTAACTATATCTACTACATGTCCTAATCATAAACAAAAAAAATTACATTTACACTCTTATCAATATCTGGGAGAATAACTAAGAAATATGGAACATAACGAAAACAAAAGACAAGAGTTACCCATTCTAGGATAGCATCAGGGGGTGATGAGCTTCCTTGGCACCAAGGAGCACCATCAACTTAAGACTTTTCGCAAGATCAGCCCCTAGTGTCTGCACACATTCGGCAGGAGCTTCCAATGCCTTTTTTGCCTCTAGAATTCTGACAGGATGTGAAATGGAAGTGTTAAGTGATAAAACATCTACTGTAACTGGTACACTATTAGGAGGGATTCACTCTAGTGTGTAAAGTGATGAAACATCTACTCTATCTGGTACACTATTAGGAGGGATTCACTCTAGTGTGTTAAGTGATGAAACATCTACTCTATCTGGTACACTATTAGGTGGGATTCACTCTAGTGTGTAAAGTGATGAAACATCTACTGTAACTGGTACACTATTAGGAGGGATTCACTCTAGTGTTTTAAGTGATGAAACATCTACTGTAACTGGTACACTATTAGGAGGGATTCACTCTAGTGTATAAAGTGATGAAACGTCTACTCTATCTGGTACACTATTAGGTGGGATTCACTCTAGTGTGTTAAGTGGTGAAACATCTACTGTAACTGGTACACTATTAGGAGGGGTTCACTCTAGTGTGTAAAGTGATGAAACATCTACTGTAACTGGTACACTATTAGGAGGGGTTCACTCTAGTGTATAAAGTGATGAAACGTCTACTCTAACTGGTACACTATTAGGAGAGATTCACTCTAGTGTGTTAAGTGATGAAACATCTACTGTAACTGGTAAACTATTAGGAGGGATTCACTCTAGTGTGTTAAGTGATGAAACATCTACTGTAACTGGTAAACTATTAGGAGGGATTCACTCTAGTGTGTACAGTAATGAAACATCTACTGTAACTGGTAAACTATTAGGAGGGATTCACTCTAGTGTGTACAGTGATGAAACATCTACTGTAACTGGTAAACTATTAGGAGGGATTCACTCTAGTGTGTTAAGTGATGAAACATCTACTGTAACTGGTACACTATTAGGAGGGATTCACTCTAGTGTGTTAAGTGATGAAACATCTACTGTAACTGGTAAACTATTAGGAGGGATTCACTCTAGTGTGTAAAGTGATGAAACATCTACTGTAACTGGTACACTATTAGGAGGGATTCACTCTAGTGTGTTAAGTGATGAAACATCTACTGTAACTGGTAAGCTATTAGGAGGGATTCACTCTAGTGTGTAAAGTGATGAAACGTCTACTCTAACTGGTACACTATTAGGAGGGATTCACTCTTGTGTGTTAAGTGATGAAACATCTACTGTAACTGGTACACAATTAGGTGGGATTCACTCTAGTGTGTTAAAAGTGATGAAACATCTACTGTAACTGGTACACAATTAGGTGGGATTCACTCTAGTGTGTTAAAAGTGATGAAACATCTACTGTAACTGGTAAACTATTAGGAGGGATTCACTCTAGTGTGTCAATTTTGTAGCCAGAGGTTGTAGTTAAGTTGCTAAGCAAGGCACCTCATTTTGTACATTATACCTGAATGTTTATTTTTTTTTTCAAATTTGTTCTGACAAGGACATATTTAAGCAACAACACTAGTCAACATCCTTTATCAAAACCAATCAACCCAGCCAAATGTTGCCATGGTCATCTTTACCTCATGATAAACTCACAGGCCAAAATTATACAAGAGTTTCATTGGGCCTGTATCACTCACCTGGTATTGTTTGCATGAAATAGCTCCATCTAAACTAAAGGAAAAGAAATTCTAAATATCCAAGCACACAACAAAAAACATATTTATTTCCCTATTGGACCCCAACCCTCTGTCCTTAAGGGGTCAGCCAAACCATTCATACTTCATACTAAATCATTCCTACAAGAGGAGTAGGATTTCAAAGAATTTGCTCTATTTTTCTTAGTCTCTCCTGCCCAAGGGGGCCAAAACCCACAACTTTTACAAAACTGATTCCCTCTCACCCAAAAAACTTCAAACCAAATTTGGCCACAAATTATTTCTAAAGGAGGTGTAGGATCTTCAAGAACTTGCAAAATTTACTCCTTTTGAGCCCTGTACCTCAGGCCCTGGGGCTAGGACCCACCATTCATGAAGAAAATTGTTTACCTTCCCCAAAAGATGCTTCTGACGAAATTTGCTCAAAACCGGCTTAGTTGTAGCCAGTAGCAATTTGTTGAAAATGTTGATGGATGGATGGCAGTCAAGGGCATCACAGGAAAATGGGATCATGTGAGAAGTATCTGTCTTCTACACTACTGTTTACATATTAGACACAGTCAGTCAAAATTAACACTTTGACATCACATGTACCACATGACCGGTCTACACATTAAATTTCTAAATAATGTGTAATAAGTACTTTTGACTGACTAAAAACTGGTATTTTGACATATTTAACCAATGCTATATCAGTGGTTGTGCTATTTAGATTATGATGTAACAGAAATTAACAAAAACAATAATCATGACCAAAACCATTTAAGAAGATTTACCACTGAACAATTTCAGAAAACGTACGAGAAGAGGCACCACAACAAGTAGATTACAGAGAACCAGGGTATATTTTGGAGGACTGTCAAGACGAGTAAGAGACAGGTTACATAAATATCTATATGCCTGTAGTATGTATATAAGTTCCATTTGCTAGCATTTGTGACAGAGCATATAATGAACATTTTATTATACCTCACACATTGACCATTTTACTTTTTGTACTTTCAGACTTATAATTTCATGTAACGTTGCCCTGATGAGTTTGGTGTGGGCAAAACAGATTAGCATGATCAAAGTGTATTAACCACCTGAACCTCTGCAGTCAGTGTATGTTGTGTAAACTCCCTACCCCTGGCTTATAGTTTTTACTTTTGGAGTGAACACTCTGCATACCCTAGTGGTATTCATATACCAGTGGAGGGACCACTTAACCAAACACTCAAAACATTGGCACCGACATTGGCTCTACTTCCAAGTTTTTTTTATTCCAAATTTAAATAGCACTTGTATTTATGAGAAACTGAGCTACATGCACAAACTGCTATGTCCCTAATTATGTGATCTAGCTATATAAGATTTACTAATGTTACTTTGCTGATGCCACTTTGATGCCACATTCATCAGCCACAAAGAATACATATTTCACAAGATCTGTCAGTTTTGTGGAGGCATATTTTCCTTAGTAGAATATGTGTTTCTGAATTTGTACGTGCCGAGGAGCTGGGGAGAGTCAAAGTCGACTTGTGACGAGAGTGAGCCATACTTGTTGTGGGTCTTGCGAGAGCTGTGTTCTGCCTTCAGTTGGTCTAGCCTTGTGGTAAGCATGTCTGGTGTTGGTGGGGTTACACTAGGCAGGTTCTGGCCAAGTCTCTCTGCTAGTGACTCAAACTTAGGCACTGGAACATGGGAAAGTGCCCGGAACGACTAGGAGACAAAACAAAAATACAATTCAAATTAGTTTGTATTAGTAGCAAGATGAGCAACTGATTTATAGGCATTTTAAAAACACTTATTTACTAACAGCATATTTTAATACACATTTCAAAAGAAACAAATATTTGAACAAGCACTGCTGTAGTGAAACTGCATGCATTAAGTGAGCCTAGGCAACCATGATGCTAATGTTTATCACATGGAGCTAATACCGAAAATCAGGATCTTTTTTGAGGGAATCTCAGAGCAGGCCACCATGTTTTATATGCAGAGAACCTACAACAGTACTGCTTTTGCCCTGGACACGAGGTTGGTATCATGGAGAAGATGCTTGTGACCATGACCAACAAGGTGAGTGAATTCTCAGTTATACAAAATATTGTAACACAAACCTGAAAGTTATGTGTGAGTTCTGGTGTTTTTGGTGTGTCAGGCTGTGTCTGGAGATAGGACAGCTTTGGTGGTTGTGGTACACCACTTTGGATGCTGGTATTCTCAATCCCTTTCACATTTAAAAATGCTGACGGCTCATAATTGAAGGTATTATTTGCCAACTCTCGTAATTTCTGTAGGATAAAACATATTTTTTGTTTTGATTGACAAGTGATGATAAATAAAGAGAAAAAACACAATGGATTAAAATGTTTGCAATTTTCTAATAAATCTTTCATATACCGGGTATATCATATGATAATGAATGAAAATTTCATGACCTGGATGTAAAAGAACATCTAATCCACACACATGTCTCATTATCTCAAGGATTAAATTTTCAAATTCACATTAATGTACCACGAAATAGCCAAGATATCATCCCCATGAAAAATAAGAAGCTAAGCGTACCAAGCTATCAGGTATATCTCGATGGACAGCATGAAAACACTACAGATATATTGTCGTGAGCTAAAAACACTGATACATTGTATTGCAAATAGAAGTACTGCAGGACAGAACCACACATTGTATAGCAAATAGAAGTACTGTAGTACAGAACCATACATTGTATAGCAAATAGAAGTACTGCAGTACAGAAACATACATTGTATAGCAAATATAAGTACTGCAGGACAGAACCATACATTGTATAGCAAACAGAAGGACTGCAGGACAGGACCACACATTGTATAACAAAGAAAAGTACTGCAGGACAGAACCATACATTGTATAACAAAGAAAAGTACTGCAGGACAGAACCATACATAGTATAGCAAATAGAAGTACTGCAGGACAGAACCATACATTGTATAGCAAATATAAGTACTGCAGGACAGAACCATACATTGTATATGCTGGTCTCATGCCAGAGAAATATTCATCATTTATTATATTGAAAAGAAAATAAATATGATAAGAAGCCTATGGGGCCTGTGTTACTCATCTGGCTTTGCTTGGCTCAAATTACTTATGTCAAACTAAACGTCGCTGGAATGGAAATTCTAAATATCCAAGCACCCAACACACACCATATCTATTATTCCATTGGGTCCCTACCCTCTGTCCCAAGGGGGTCAGCTAAACAATCCATGCTTCAGACCCACTGTTAATACAAAACTAATAAGACTTTACTTAAGAATGCTTCAGACTATATTTGGGCAAAATCTAATCATACTTACAGCAGGAGGAGGATTTTCAAGAACTTGTGGCTAAGTTTACCAGTCCTTTGGACCAGGTGAGCTCAAAACTGAAGGGCAATAACTCTTCCCAAAAAAAGTAAAACAATGCCATTGAGAAAACCCAATTTCAAGAAGTGGTTTTAATGTCTGCAAAGTTAGAAAGAGATTGATAGGAAGGTAATGGAGGAGTACTGTTGACAACTTATGAACCAAACAAGGGACCTTAACTCTTCCAAATATAGTCAAATCAACCAGCTGTTCAGGAAAACAACTTAATTTTTCTTAGATCAACCATACAAGTTTCAAAGAAATAAGTATAAATATGACAGAGGAGATCTCTGAGCAAGATTGGCATTATAAAACAAACAAGTCAAACCAAACCGTCTTTTAATTAAACACAAGTTCATGTCATAGTGATTAAGTGTATCGGTACCAAGTTTGAAAGAAAAGGTTCCTAACCTAGTTGATAACTGAGATAAGAGATCTCAAGAGAACATTATAATGAAAACAATGGGTGGTAACTCTTAATAATACAGTCACACCAAACTGCTGTGCTTTTCACTTTGAGTCTATTGTACAATCACTTGTTATAATTGTACATCAAGTACAATGCTTTTTTTCTCCAATGTACAAAGTCTAAAACTGTAGTTCAGTTAAGAAAAATTGGAGTATGAAATTCAGAGGCCACATGATCCTAGTGATGCCTGTCAAACAAGGGATGTACAAATATTCCCTTATCACATCTAAACATTTTACATTCAACATTTTACCTTGTTTTGCCATGAAATATTTAGAGGCCATGGGAATCACAGGTAGTTAAGTTACAGAAGTACGTTGTTGATCTTAGTGAGGTAGGCTCTTGGTAAAGGTAAGGTAAGGCATTGGTTAACAACTCAGAGAACATTAACATAAGCAGTAGAATTGAGCAGACAATTTACACTGTACCAATAAATCACAAGTCATTTCTGGAGTTTTAGGAGTCTCTGTTGTATATATCCTTGAGATGGGAGGGGTCTTCACACTCAAGTCCACAGGATCTGACTGGGCAAGGTTCTTAACTCCAATCCCAGGATTCTGTAAAGGACAGGCCTTATGGACAGATGTGTTTTTCTTCAGCAGTAGATTTTTTAAATTTGGTGTTTGGAATTTTGGAGTTGCTGGACTGCAGGCCATCATTTGTTCTGACACAGACTTGGATAACTTCTGAACATCTGGGTTACGAACACTGGACAGCTGAGCAAGACGTCGCATACTGGGAGTCTGAATCTCAGGGCTGGTGAGATCCAAAGATGTATGGTCATCTAGATCCAGGCGGGGAATCTTCTGATGACTTGGTACATCAGACTGTGCTGGGCTCCACAATGAGTATGGACTGCCATATTGGTCTGTACAGGCAAGGGCAACATACTCAATATTTTATAATCAATGAACTGACAAGATATCTGTACATATTCAATACTAATGCTAGCAAGATACGCATTCACATTTATTTATTACATACCTTGGAGTTAAAATGGATTTATTAATAATAGAAATGATCAATTGATTTCTTGTTGTTTCTTAATCAAACATAATTTTTCAACTGATTAGATTTAAACATATTTATTGTCCCAAAATTGAGCAGAGGATTAGGCACAAGTTATTTCAACTTATGACCACCTTTTCCTCTAATACAATACATGATAATATATACATGATAACATTACCAAGGCATACATAATATATTTAACAGTTAGTACATTTTTCAACTGATCACCATCTATCTCTTGCTGTTTCTTAATCAAACATAAAATTTTCAACTGATCTCTTCTGACCTCATGCTGTTTCTTCATCAAAAATATTTTTTCTACTGATCTCTCTTTACCATTTGCTGTTTCCAAAGGAGGTGTAGGGGGTGGGGTGGTATGCTGATCTTTCACTCATTGTCTACCCTAAGCCTGTTTTCTTTGCTTTTATCATCAATGATAGTTAGAATCAAGATAGTACTGTGTTTGTGAATAAAGATAAGTCTCAGGAAAGAAAATATCTTTTAGTTTAATGATGCATTCATGGAGTAACCAAAAGAGTTATCATAAATCATATATTGCAGATAAATTCAATTTACCAAATTTTCAAACTGAAAAGGAACAGGCAGCAATCATCAGATCAAATGGAGGTAACAATAACACTGTGATAACTTACTTGATTGGTGTGCGTCTGGAGTTTGTAGCGGAAGTTTCTTATCCCCCATCAGACTTGGTGTGACAAAGAGGCCATTGTGTTCAAACACCTGTGGCACCTGGTTGGATCTGCTCATTGGCTGGACGCTACAAATACACACTACATTTTACACACTGTTACACACTGCTCATCTGGCACATGGAAATGCAGATTCAAAGTCTCATCTCTGTTACATAGCATAATGTTATTTACACCAGAGTTTCCAACAAGGTTCTCAGTAAACTAGTACATTTCTGCTTTTGGCATTTATGTCACTGCCATAAGAACGTTAATTCCTACAAACACTTTTAAATATTCTGTTCCATTTTGTGTCATTTCCACTTGCAGGTCACCATCATGCATAATTGTTGGTGTGACTAGCTATTTTGGAGAACTGATTCTCAAGAAAGAACAACAGGAAAGAAACTTGAAAATTGGGCACCATTTCACTATCAATAATAGTCAGCGATGAAAAAATTCCACTTTAGACATTGTTAGGCCTACATTGTTCTTATGGCACAAGTACCACAGCTACAAAAAAATCCTCATTTTCAGATGACAGGTCTTCCAAAACCTCCTAAGTAGCTGATTCAATATCTTCTAAACAAAACTCCTTTAGTTCATTTTCTAGGTTAATTTTTAAGATTTCATATAGTTATATGCATAGGTAAATAAAATTGCTTAAAAATTTGGCCATTCATTGTTTAGAATTTAGAGTCTGTTTATATGTGGTGCTTGCTGATCACGTGATAAAACTGATGCAAAGCACATGGTCAAAAATGGTGTCAAAAGTTGCTTAATATATGGAAAATGTGCACAGGCATCCAGTGGCTTTTACATAAAGGTTACAAGCATCCAAAGGGGCTTACATGTGTAAAGGGGGTACAAATGGTTTGGATTCTTTTAAAGAATCAAAATACAGCCTGAAGACAAGTAAATGTTAAGACAGATGGGTTTCCCCCTCCCCCTCCAACCTACAGGTGATATACACTCCATCAACCATTGGTATATAACAACTATATTGTGTGACCTGTATATAGCTGTACTGGTATTGGTAGCAGCTGCAGTTTTCATCTTGAAAGACTGAAGTCTTGTGTGTTCCATGACAGGTGTCTTGGGTGTTTTGGAAGTATCCTGAACTTCTCCACGACAAGGGGGTGGAGTACACCTGTAAAACAATATCAAATTTTTTGTACTGACTAAGACATCAATTTATGCCAAAGGAAGATAAATATTATATTGTTTTAGATTCCTGTTCTTTCTTTGCTTTTTTTTAAACAGTAGGAAACTTGAGAGAATCTTTCTGATATCCTCCAATACTGCGACTCATCACATTTACCACTAAAAGCAACAATCTCCAGCAAGAAGATTTGAAAAGAGCATTCATGAAATGTACATGAACAACAACAACCAAACAGATAGTAGATCACATGTTTTACTTGAAAACTGGAAGAAATATATATTTTTTGAAATGTACATAATCTGACACTGAATTATCTTGAACTAAATTTGCATTTTTTTATAACTGAACTGAAATTCAATCAGTTACTTCAAAACTCACGAAATATAGACAAACAGTTTGGTACATTGCATCAATGACAGACTTTTTGCAAAACAATTTGTGCACATGAACAAAAGGAAAATGTTACAAAAAACTTTAAAACTTATGATATAACCAACACTATCTATTTATAGACACCTGAACAGACAAAAACATACACTGTATTCCCTTTGTCTGTGTTTTCTGTTGCATCCATGTCCTCTTCTTTATCCTCGTCTTCGTTAGGTTTCTGAGTGACTGAACAAACAGGAAAAGGTTTCATATTCGTAGTTACCTGGTGTCCTGTTGGTATGGTGTCACTGTGTTATTATCATTGACAGCTGTCATATTAAAATTGACTTCGACATTTATTTATTTGTCTATTTGAGAACTTTACATCAATGTAACGGCCAATGGAAAGTCATAGAAAGAGTGTCCAAGCAAGGCTCAATTTACAGTTCATATGCTATCTCACTGAAATAAGACACTCAACCATGAATGAAACAACCAATTTCAAGAGCAGTTTTGTAAAGTGCCTGGCAGGAAAATAAGTGAATATATTTTAAATTAGTTCACGATCCTGCATGGCTTTACCACACACATAGGTATTTCCCAAAAGAACTTACTAAATTTTTGCCCTTCAGGCCACACTTATCAATTTATACCAAATTTGTTCCTCTTCTACCTCTGTCATGATTTTTAGGAAAAAGATGATGGTTAGTGAATAAAGGCCAAGCACCATGGCATAAATTCATAACCACTGGTCCTTTGAGCTAGGTAAGTTAAACCAATGATCTTTCAATAAATGTCTTATCTATACAAAAAGCACAGTTAAAAATCATCAAATTTGAAGACTGACACTTGAGATTTTTTTGGTGTTCATGTAGGAAAGAATTTTGAAACATTTGATTTGAATCTGAAGATTCCAGAGCTGAGAGTCACTGACTCAAGTTTAATACTTTTGGAAGTTCTGTCAACTGGAGACCAAGGTAAACTACATACAGGAAATATGATCCATCCAGTAGGTAGTTTTTATTTCTATTGTGCTACCAATTAATGATTGGGCCATTGAAGAACATGTTTAGAGTGCCATCGCTCGCACTGAAATTTCATCGCCACCTTCTGAAGATGATAGCAAGCTTAAACAGCATAAATCTAAGATGATCCAGGGCTCTCGATCTGCCAGATTTGGGGCCAATATTCGGCCCCATTCCCCATGCAAAATAGTATCTTTTTTTCCCAATACAGACCCCAAGTTTTCCCAATTCTAAGGAAAATGCCACTATTTTTCCCAATTCTAAGGGCCCCGGGCCCCAGTCCCAAAATGGGGTGTGAGAGCCCTGTGATCATCCACCACTCTGCAATTTTGTTTTGCCCTTCATTCTCAAATGAGTCAGATCTAAGGACCAAGTATTGCTTCCAAAGAATGAACAGACATATTCCCAGATATAAGACAGTGGGCTTAATATTCCTAGCCACTTCATCCCTCTGAGTGTGTCCCTGTACTCTGCTAGTCATGTCACCATACCTTTAGGCGTGTAGCCATACTGCTGCATGAAGGACTCAATGTCCTGCACAGCCTTCTGTTGTTTTGCTATCAGGGAGCCACACAGACCTAGGAACTCATCAAATGCTTCGCCTGTCTGCTTCATGTGTTCCATCTTACCCCTCACCTCCACCTGTATCATATAAACTCTTGTAAATCATGTTACCCATCACTTTAACCTTTATCACATACAATTTCGTCAGACATGTGTTCTATCCTACCTCTCTCTCAACCTGTATCATATAAACTCTTGTAAATCATGCGTTATCCCTCATATCCACCTATATCACATAAACATTTGTAAGTAAAGCTGTACCCATCACTTACACTTATATCATGCAAACTTGTCAGACAAATGTCTTTCATCTTATCCTCCATTTGTATCATATCAACTATTCTAAGTTATGTGTTACCCCTCACCTCCACCTGTGTAAAATACATAATATCTTGTCAGATATAGTGATTCAATCTTACCCCTCACCTCTATCTGCATCGTACAAACTTGTCAGACACATCTTACCCCCTAACCTTCATCTTTATTAAATAAATTCTTGTGGGACACATTGTGTTCCATCTCACACCTCACCTTTTCTGCATAATACAACCATATTTGAGAATCTAAATTATTGTGTTTATCACCTTTTTAAAATGTTAAAGTTAATGCTGAAAAATATCAGGATATTTGGGTAAAGTCTAGCTGATAGGGAATTTAGGGCAAAGGAACATTTGTTCTTTATATAAAGCTGAAAAATCAAAGAGGGTAATTAATGAAAATGAGATTTCACTTCCACTAGTGAAGATATGTATTACCAGAATACCTTTTTCTCCTTCACTTGCTTCTTTAAGTCTGATAACTTCAAAATGGCTTTAGAAGGACATCGCTTTTTGTTTTTATCAAAATCCTCTGCCAATTCTGCCACACCTCGTTCTGTTGCCAGGCCAACTTTACGAAGACGTATGAAAAAGCTCTCCAACTTTGACCCATTGTCCATATTCCCTTTTGATAACTGCAAAATCTGTGTACTGTAAAAGAATATGTTCCTATAAAATTCCAATCTGGTAAAACCTGCAAACAATAAATCACTCTAACAATACATCCTACATTTACAATCCTATGTGTACCACACAGGCGGATCATACATAAAGGATAACAATTTTCAACCTGTATTTGGTGCCATTTTTTTATGTTAAGAGAGAATTAATTAAATTTACCCCGATCAGTAGAATAAACTTGTTAATGTGAAAATACATAATCTAATATACTATATACAGGATCTCATGATCACACGAGCTTCCATTCATATGAAACAAGCCTTAGAATTGTTCATTTAATAATGATAATTCTACATGCAAGTCCCAAGTCCTGTGCTCATAGAATTTTAATTTGACTCAATAGATAATAATGGTACCTCAACACAGCTTAGTCCAGTGGCATGACTATCAACCCACAATTTTAATTTTATCATGGTCACATCTGATAAATTAGTTCATATTACATATTTGTTTGTGTCTGTGTCATCATCTGTATTCATCACACTGGATGAGGACATTTATAATTATGGCTACATGTTGGTGAATAATTTTGGAGAATAGTGATGGGAAATAATTAAGATCTATCATTGATTATTGGTTAAAATCAAATAGGTTTTTCAATGAGCTTAATTGATTACCTAATCAGCTGTCTGTGTGTTCGATATTCAAAGAAACAAAATGTATTTTAACATTAAATACCTCATTTACCTTGAATTATCACTGGAATGAATACAATTGTCATTAATATTTTTATTATACATAACTTGAAATTTCTTTTTGCTATAACAAAAGAAAATATTTAGGTACAGATGATTTATTATGAAAAAATAACAATCGATCATCGCATCAGATGAAATCAAATAATCAATTTTATCTGATCACCGCGTTCAATCATTAGTCTAGAAGAGTTTTGGTTCTTGTTTGCATTGATATAAGCAGTTTTATCATACATCAGAGACTGAACAATGGTGCTTGAAATTTTGACTGTAAATTAAGAAATGTTTATCATAAAAATGTTATCTAAGTTACAGAGCTGAGCTAGCGCTTATGTTGTGTATCGTGTTCTTCTTCGTTGTATTTTAAAAATAAAATGTAATTTAAGATATCGTTTGGTTTTGCTGATTGCTTTATTGTCGCAGATAGACTTATATGCCGACTGCGATAAGGCGTCTAGCAGACATCGAAATGTTGAAAAATATCTCGAGTTTCGTCGACTTCAGACCGATATATATATATACATATAAAGCCGAATGCATACCAGAAGAATTCTGACTAGCCTTATTCTAGACCTGTCATTTCCTAAATCGCATCGTAGGCCTAATTATTTTTGTTTTACATAGTACGCTTACTCTATCTTGGTCTAATTGGACTATCCCAAATGAGAAGAAAGGCAGTCAATCTAGTATGCAGGTTGGTTTTGTTCCGTCTTCTTATATCAACTGAAATTCAAAATGGCGCGCGAAACACATAAGATCCCGGCCAAGGGAAATAACTCGACGGAAATAAAATAAACACCGCACCTGCAGCACTTGTTTCCCAGGTGAGACGGATCCAGACTAAGGAAAGTGATAGCAACGGAGGCATGAAAAGTGAGTCCATGACTTGTTTAAAGGCAACTCTGCTACGGTAAATATCTCTTGTTGTATCATTAATTTATGCAAACAAATAAATAGTTTTATAGATTACCCTTTCAAGTCTTTTCAATAAGCATGGATCAGAAACGCCCCCTTGAACTGTTTACATGGCTTTACAAGGTACAAATGTTGTGATATTGTAAGGATAACCATTTTTTCGGGTTTTTGATTGAAACGATTGAGAGAATTTTGTCTTATTCAATTAGTGATTTTCTTTTAAAGTTTGTAGGTATGATTAACTAGTTCCCACGTGATAAGATAAATACTGAAAATTATTTTTGTAATGCTAACATTCTTATCAATATATAGATATCATTTCTGCTTGATATGCTGATTTTTATTATTATTCTTTCTTATTTCTTTTTCAATGAAATCAAAACACGGATTTTTTTCCATTTCATTTTAGAGCTACACATTATAACAATAGCTTTATTAGTCATGCTGTTCAGTATATGTGCGCTGATAACACCCAGTCTGATTAGATATCACGTTACAATGGTGTACTGATATATCAAATAATGTTATCACCAGTCCAAATGTATCCTTAAAAAAATATACTGATAATTCATCAAAAATACATTACACGTATGTATGTCGAGCTTATTTCATGATCTACGGTTGTAAAATGTCACAAGTCTTTATATTGACATATGCTTTGAGGAAGTTATTTCGATAATATTAGTAGTTCAGCAGTGGAGGTAAATAGTATGTTATCGTGTGTTTGTGTGTGTGTGTGTGTGTGTGTGTGTGTGGAGGGGGCGGTGTTGATGAGTTTGATGGGGAAATGGGGAGGGGGTATGTTGATGACATAAATCTTACACTTATTATGTTTTTCAATCTTCAGTATAGATAGATCTTTGAAATATGTTTATAATACATATATATCAGTAAACACGTTTTTTTAATTTTCGATAACGACATGGTGTTCTGTATTATTGAGACTAGTGTTGTATATATAGTCTTACTGTTATCAGTTCTCAGTCTGTATCATAAACTAATACTTCAATTTCTTATCAATGTACAGAGTAATGAATTTACCTTGGAGAATGCACAAGTGACAGCAGATTTGTATGAGCTGTTGGCCCCAAGTCCCCGACAGCTGTTTCTCTCTGCCGTTTCGACGATGCGCATGACAATGTTGCTGCTGCTGATGATGATGATAGGAACGACATCTCGTGTTAGCGGGTTCTACATCATAGAACCCAGCGTACTCTCATCAGATAAAACATTCTTCCAAATATCGTCTAATGACATACTGTCTTTGACAGGATGCGAGAAGAAAATTACATTCGAGAAGAACGAAGATATATCTCTAACTTATATGAACCGTTCTCATCTTGTTAATTTTATGCCAATTTCGGACGCGTTTCTGGAATTAACAGCATTGGACAGTAATGGTACCCAAGACACGTTCAATATTTCTGGAAAAACACCTAACATGACCCAGTATACACTACACGGAACCAGTGTTACAATACGTGTTCATCCTAATTATTGTAATCAGTATAAAACGCTTATCATGAATGATTTCTTGATTTCCATTAGCGTTACTAAGACGAATAATCTATGTCAAGATCCTGGAACGCCCGAAAATTCAATCAGGAGAGAAGAAACCAGTGAATTTGTGATCGGGACCAACATTCAGTTTTCTTGTCGTCGTGGATATGTCATCTCTGGGTCTAAAATTATTTCTTGTGTCAGAGATCCTGATACGGGCATTCCTTCATGGACCGGAAGTAATCCTACCTGTGTAAGACAATGTGAGAAACCACCCGCTCCAAAGTTTGGAGGCATATCCCAGATAACACCTAATGGGTCTGCACATTTTACATGTGAGAGTCCGTTCACATTAGTAGGTCCCGAAATGATAACATGTTTGCACAACGGCGCCAAAACAAATTGGAATGATTCCCCGCCAAAATGTATCGTCACTACGTGCCCGGCAAATGGTACCATTCTAAGTGTTACGTATAAAAATAATTTTATCGCCACACCCGGTTTCCCCGGAAACCTTATTTACTCCAATTTGACATGCAAATGGGTTATACAGTTAAAGGCAGACAATGCATGCATTCACCTTTATTTCGAGACATTCGATATTCCGAACAGTGTCGTTTTTGAAATATACAAGTATGTTGAAGATTTTGCGGGTGATGGGGACCTCGTTTGGTCGTCTCGTTCAGCAGACGGATTGCCTATGAAGACTTTTATTATCTGTAGCCACATGTTACGTTTATCGTATGCCAGTGGGGAGATGGACGTGACGGGACACAGAGGGGTACAGATGTGGTACCTGGCTCGACCCATCTCTGAGTATCACGCGGCCTATCAGAGAGCCGGTCACTTAGGATATGATGATCAGGTAAATATAATTTCTTCTAATTGTGTGTCGTATACTGGTTAGTGTATTTACCGTACCGAGCAACCTCTGTATGGCATTTGAACGAGGACCGGTCACAGTTGAGGTATGAGAAAATGTGCATTCAATAGTTTGGAAGGTAAGCCGATCAGATAAAATAGTTTGTTGTTAGTAAAGTTGAAGTCTGGACAGCTAAGAATTTATGTAAGTCTCAGTCGCTGGGATTTTTTCATTTTACACACAATTCAAGGAAATATCCTTGTATTTTTCCATAATTATATCACGTGCATGTCGATATACATGCTTAATACATGTACATTACAACGTTTCTTCCGTGTATATTCGTCACGTGACTTCGGTGATAACAAATACACTCGTATATACTGTCGTGTAAATTACAGATTTGACAACGCTGGGTGTACTTTTAACAATTTGTTTGATAAACACATGACACAGCAGGCAATCTTTCTCGCATAATTTTTTTTTTCAATTTAATTTGTCGAACTCGCCTTACATGTACAAGCACAATAGAAAATGAAATGCAGTAAGATAATTATTTTACACGGAAAAGAGTAACCGCATTATGATTTTAAATGAGTTAAACATTTTGATATGAGGCGTGACGTAACTTTAATGAGAATAACAAGCTAATTTCGAGTCGAACTGGGCGTTACTTCAATGCCGATACTACCGTGTGACGTCATTGATTTCATGACGTCATACGTAAATTACGACGTGTGTCTAACAAAATGGATGTATTACACGAAAGGAAGAACTACTTAATATGATATATCTTATTACCAGATCAAAACGTTTTATAAAATGTCATAAAATGAAAACGAATTTAAGATCTTTTTTATTGCATAACTGTTTAATGGACTTTAAAGACACAAAATTAAATTGAGGCAACCATTTCGTTACACCATCTTCAATGAAAAACACCTGGAAGGCGGTGGGGGTTGTACTATACTACTGACAACTATAGAAGAATTCACCAGGAAGTATGCGGATAATGTGATGCTTTATTGGTATTTTACAGATAAGCGTAGAACCGACCAAGGCGACAGGTCAGATGGAAGCAGACGACAGCTCCCATAGCAACGTTGCTGGCATTGCTGCTGGTGTTTCTGTTACCGTTGTGCTGCTGATCATCGGCGGTATTGTCTTCTACATCTGGTACCGTAAGAAGTACCCGGTTAGGATGATCATCGGCAAAGACTTCGGCAAGTTTACTAACCCCGTGTACAATAAATCAACTTCCACTGCAACACTAACACGTCCAGATTCGTTCGAGAGGGAGATCAAGAAAATGGCCACAGAAAAATTTGTTTCTCACGAAAACCACGTTGATTTAAGTGACGAGCAAGAATACCAACCGACATCAGGACTTACTTTGTTGGGGAGTCTTGGAATGAGAGCAGGATTAGATGATTTCGACAGTCCAGAAATGAAGAAACGGAATAACACGAAACAGAGAAAGAAATCTGTCCCTGCTAATAAAATTGTCATAGAAGAAGAGGAGGAAGAAGTGAAGGATGAAATTACAAACATTTCAGATACTTCTTCTGAAACATCTTCCACCAGTGGGGAAAAGAGTTCGGCGTCTGACGAGAATTCTGACGGAGAAGGATTCAGACCTGTAACAGACGCACCGAAAGTCAAACGAAAGCGCGTGTCTGCATATCTGAATGAAGCGCTTGATAGGAAGAACTCGCAAGATAGTACTGACACACAGGATGGTTCAGAAGTCATCCAAGACAAGGAAACAATATCTGATGGCATCGACAAGGTTGTAGACTCAGAAACCCTACAACAGATAGATGAGGACACGTCGAGTATAGACCATGCATTTAGCAAGGATGAGTTATCATCTGACCTACCGAAACCAAATGAAAGCGATCATTTGGAACAAAATGAACGGAATGAACATGTTCAGGGAGAAACCAGTGCGGATAGACCGAAAATTGTGCTAACGCTAGGAATTAAAGACTTCAAATTCACGGACGAAGACGAGGACGAAAGTGGTCAGTCGTCTTCTGATACAGACGAAAAAGCAGAAAAAATCAGTTCTGTTGTGCAAAAGGACGATATCGTTTTAGAGGACGTAAAAGATATAACTCTATCCACGGAGGAAATCATGACAGAAGTAAATAACTTATCGCAACAAGAGGCACAACCCGCAACCGAAAGCACAGTTCAGTCAGAGCCAACCACTGACATCGAACAGCTGGAACATACGGACGTCCTTACACAAGATATTAAGGAACAATTTGTCCAAGAAGAAAATGATTTTTTAACTTATACTGAAAAAAGAGACGCGACTTCCGATGATAAAATGTCCGATGGAAAGGAATCAATAGCTATTGGTGTATCAGATATCTCCGTGACACCTCCAACATTAATTGAAAAAGCCAGTATCACCGAATTGAACAGCGAACATAACTTCACTGATGTACTGAATACCGCTCCCGCTTTGTTAGAAGATACAAAGGAGGAATCGGTCAACCGTCCGAATCATATGGTCATCACGCATCCCAAGATATCTGATACGCAAACAGATAACGATGTGGTTTCTTCTTTTACTGCAGGTACACCTGAAGCGCTAGAACACAACCAAGATATCATAGGTTATCTTACAAGAGACGAGATGCGAGAATTAACAGCTCGAACCAAGTCTTTTGGCGAAGATTCTCTTTCGTCTGTTTACAGTGGGGAATTGGTCAGTAATGATAATCCAGTGGCTGAAATTGCAGAGCAGGACTTTTCATCAGGCGTGAGTCTTGATGAAACAGACAGCCCGGAAATTCCTTTTAAAAACAAGGTAGAAGTGCAATTTGAAAGAATAATTCAGGACCTAGAAAATTATTCGCCCGATTTTACAAGAGAGGATGACGACGTGGAGGACGATAAACAAGAGGACATCATTGCAAAAGCAGACGAGCCCATGACATCATTTGATCCAACATCTCTAGTTAATATATCTAACGACTTGAGTGGAGAAACGTCTGATTTCTTGCCACTTGCTGATCGCTCAGATGATGATGCTTCTAGGACATTGAATGTTGCTTCCTCCGCAGTTGACGATTTTCTCAGTTTTGAAAATAATCCACAGAATCAATTTTTTTCTGGTCTATCTCTTTCAAGCGACACTAATATATTTACAGAAAAATCATCAACCCACCCGATTACGCTTGTGATGTCTGGATTTGATACGGGTGAAAGTAGCACGGACGTACAGAATCATGTGGATGTTCTGAAGATTGTCCCAAACGATCAACTCTCAGAGGATTCAAGCGGTGAGGATGACAGTGACGACAGTAAGATATCAAATAAAGATGTGATAGAGTATACTGTTAATCCCGGTATTAACGCGGAGGATTCGGACGACGACGATGACGACGACCACGATCAAATGGACGAACTTCAACTAATTTCAGGGTCATTTGGAAAGGGCAAACGAAAGAGCATCACTCTTGAAAATCCATCATTTGATTCATTAGATTTTTCGAAATTTCAACAGAACACATTAAATACTGGACGAGACGACACCGCCGAAGAATCAGATTCAGAAGTGCCTATGAAAGCACCCGCCATTGGACGCAGAGAGAGTGTATCTCTTGATAATCCTCTCTTTGACACGGAGCCCTTACCTGAATCGTCAAATCAAAGAGAAAAAATGCGCGTCATTGCAGTGTCAAATTTACTGGCCACACCACCGACTTCATCCAATGAATCGTCAAGTGAAGATTCAGAGAGTGAACCGGAAGGTATGGGTGAGTATGTGATCAATCCATCAACAGATCCCGAGGATACGGCACACAAAACAGACGAAATTGAAAGGCAACCAGGTTCAGATCTACCTGTAGGTGTCATGAACTTTTTGTCAATGGGCTCTAAAAGTGAACTTGAAAATGCTATTGAAAACAGCGCTTCATTAACAATGCCCCTCGATTATGATCCCCGCAAAAAGCAAAACTTGGAATCGGTGGAGTCCGATGTTTCCTCTCTTGACTCAGCGACAGTGAAAGAGATTGAAGAATTATCATCAGATTCGGAAGCTAGCAATAAAGACAATGCCGGTGCTTTCACCAAAGCAAACACGCCTGCGCAAAAGAAATTTTCTCTCTCATCCATCTCTAGGAAATTAAAGAGTAGTTTTAAAACCACCACAAAACCGGATCTTCAATCCGGAGATAACGACATGGTAGATGTGTAAGTCGCTGCTCTTCATTTTATTGTCCTCTCGCTAAAATGGTATATCTACCCCTGTATGCGCATCAATGTATTCGTCAAGAGCGATGTGTTGTATTAATTGTATACAACACAGATGAAGAGTTTTTGGAGGTTTATCTTTGTTCAATGATTTGTGTAGACATAGAAAATTATTGAAAATACCTTATTATGTTAATCATTTCTCCCCAGTCTGTTGTTATGTCCTTTCATGTAAGCAATTTCGTTTTACCGTTAGTGTCAACACTTTTGAAATGATGTGATAGCAATTTTCATAAATACAATATCAATGCCTGTTGAAGTTTATAGCAGAACAACTGAAGAAAAGTCAAGTTCTTGTTTAGTTCAGGATATCTCTACTGTTAAGGACTTTAACAAAGGCACGTCAAATCTAATGACTTTCAGAATAGAAATGTTAAAGTGTTGCGCTGAATGCATGTTCATTGAGTGTGCGTAAAATTCGCTTGCCAGTTTTACTAAATATAATCAGATACCTTTTTATTTACTGTGCAAATGCGTATATATTATATTGGTGACTTGTTGACATGAACATTGTAGCGTTTAAAATGTTTTGTACTTTCTTTTATTTAATGCATTAGTGTGAGTTGTAGATATACGCGTGTTTGCACGTGTATAATAGCGAGGATTTTATACCTTAGCTGCAGAGCCGGGCTTTTTGTGTAATCATTCTTAAATAGAATCAAACTTCGTTGAATCATAAATCGTTTATATTATCTATGCAGTGTATTTAAAAGTAATTTTAATACAGTGAATAAGTGTACATCTTGTGTCATTCTTATTTATGAAAACAGGTTTATCTTTATTTTATTACGTAGATAACGTATATGAAAAGAACATACATATTGTATAATGGTATAACTATATAGTATATACAGTATTTCATAATAGGATAAAGTATAACAATTGAAAACATACGTTTTGTGGCGTATCATGTTGGTGAGCGTTAATTCTTCTTGTTCTGTGTCATGAACGTGATAATTGAGTTTCCCGGATTCGACATCACTATACTGATGGACATTACACAAATGTACATGTACAGTTATGACTTACGACACGTGATCACGTGATCACGGGTGGGTTGGCAACTTGTTACCCTCCTCCCAAGAAAATGGCAAAGGAAAAAAACGAGAAAAAATTAAAAAAAAAAAAACAAACTCTTAAATCTCAATATCACTGGGATATATACAAATGCATAGACCGTGACAAATTGTCCTGTTCCCTCCGGAGATTATATGTAGACCGTGACAAATTGTCCGCTCGTCCCGGAGATTACTGTAACAGATTGTCCGCTCCCCCCGGAGATTGTGACTAAAACTGTGTTACATCTAACACTGCATTTAAACCCTTTATGAAATAATATTATTTGAAAAACTGCATAACTATATATCACATGCTCAACAATAAAGATGAACCGATGCGGACTTATTCGTGAGATAACGAACAACCATTTACAGCCTCACCAGATACAGGATTTCATGAAAAAATCTGGAATTTTGGACTTCCTTTCGAAAAAATGAATCAAAGCTATTTTTGTAATTGTCACCGGTGAGAGGCTGCTATTTCGACAAAAGGAGAAAATTGATGATCCCAGAGATATGAGTTTACCGTGGACAGTTTTGCCAAAATAGTAATTCGTACGTTCATGGTACACGTGTGCTTCTATTCACGGGAAGAACGGAGTGTGCCGACTATTACACAATACACAATAAACGACATTCGTGTTGGGGAAAGCAAATCTTCTACAGTATATTTCTGACTCGGGGTTAACGTTACAGAGACTAACAGTATTCCTTTCCTTGGGCCCATTACTTCTCTTACGCATTGGTAGATAATGAATTGGGTGGAAAGGCGGGAAAGAGCAATCTTTATTCATTTTGCAACAATGCGAAACAAGTTCTTTTTTTTCAATATATACTAATCATGCTTGCTGGCCTGCATTGCGCGCGAGGGGTCTTCAGTGCGAACAGCGGGGAGGGAGAGGATGTCTGGATAAGATTCTCACAAAAGAAAATGACGAGATAATGTTACTGGTGAGTTACACTGCAGATATATACCGAGGATAACGACTCATTGTTCGAGCACAAAATGTGTCCGTTATGTCACTTAGGATGTGAAGGGTAAATTATTTAACAACGAAATTATCAAGAAATGGGAAAGTTTACGAAAGGTCACCCATCCAAGTACTAACCAGGCTCGGCATTGCTTAACTTCGGTAATAGGACGAGAACCGGTGTTTTCAACGTGATATGGCCGTAGTCATTCAATGTTAAAAAATATTTCCATATATACATGGCTTTCTGCATGTGCACATCCAGTTTCCATGTATATTTACATCCCTTCGTACGCAACCATATCGCCCAGTTGATCAAAGGCAAATATGGGGCGCCAGATTTGTCTGTAATGATTTTCATTCCATATGCAATGTAAAAGTGTACAGTTGAGTATCTTAATTTGATATGTGCAGTGTGAAAATAGCAGTGGATAGGACTCTAGCTTTTAGTGAAGAAAACTGCCGGCTATTTAAAAATAACGTTTTGTACGACAAACAAACCAAAGAGCAGATTTAGTTGGTAGTTGGTACTTTCGAACATATATATATTCAAACAATTAAAATGACGTTATTTATTTATTTATTTATTTTTATTTCGTTGCCTTTGTTGTTTAGTGACACTGCTGAAAAATGAGACTATAAATTAACTTTAAATTAACTATAGTTAAAAGTAGATACAGTGTTTAAAATGTACATTGATATGCTACAATGTACTTGTACGTCCTTAGACTCTCAGTCGAGTCGTGTTACGAGACAAATCATACATGTGTCTGACCAGCTGTTGCGCTATATCTTTATTTTGGATTTCAGTGGAAAAATTAATATGTTCTTCGTGTAAATGACCACAAATGAAATGTAAAGTTTCCATGATAAATCCGAGCAAATGTCCCATATCCGACGTACTAATTATATATAACGGGTTTTAATTAAGATCTAACTATGTCCGTGACACTAAACACTCGACCTCCTCATTATATTACCCACTCACTTGTCATGCGATTTATGGGGGAGGAGTCGCTTCAATCTTTCTTTCCTCATTTCTTTAAATTTCGTCACCAACGCATCTGTAAGCTACTCCAAAATTCAGCACGATCGAAAGCTTAAGATATGCAGTTGGCTAAAGGGAGGTTACTCCGAAATGGAAAAAGGAAATAACACCTGTCGCCTCGTTTTCGGAGAATCGTGTTATGGCAGACGATTGAGATTAGTCAGTGGTGTTCACGTAGTATCGTTTACGGGTGTTTTACTCTTAGATTTTCCCTCTAATGTGATGACAACGAAATATAGATGAGGAACAACGGGAACCCTCAGCAGGGTGAGTAAAGGTGTTTTAAATCTGTGCCTCGATTTCTCACAAGTTCATCGGATTTGCCTCAACTTTGTGAGAATATTGACGAACTGTCAACTGCTTCAAAAGTTCCTGAACAACTATATATATTACTTTATTTCTGTATTATGGCCTCTAATGTGATATCATAACTTTATTTTTTTCTTTGTGATAACGATCATATAATGTCCGGATCGACAATTTTAAATGTAGCAAGTGGCAACTTGTTTATTTATCATGGACAGCCCACGGTTATGTGTATTGGATGAGCTCATTGTTTGATGTAGATCGAAGTTGTATATATTTACAGTTTAAATAATGACATCTATCAAACAACAAAAGCATTCTCCAACGTCTACACAATCATTCGAGATAACTGGGACATGTCAATTAGCTGGTATGTCTATAGAATGTTCTGGTTATTTTTATTTAGAAGAAGGTAAACAAACACAACACGCACTGTATTACAATGTACATGGTGTACATACTTCCTTGTATATTTCGCAATGTATCATGCTGTTTTGAGTATCCACTTAGTTTACTACCTTGTAATGTAACTGATGAAGAATTAAATAAACAATTCCTTTTTACTGCCAGCAATAATTAAACATCTTACACACTTACATTAAGAAGACCCAATCTAATGGCATGGATTGCATCAGGCAGGGATGTATGGAAGACAGACTGAAAACAAGGCACAGTGTAAACTTAAAATTATCTGGTGTTAGCATTTGTTCATGAGGCTGTCATCTAATTAAGCTCCTCTCTTTTCAGCCATGAAAAAATCTTAACTACCAATTCACTTTTGCCAGTGTAGTTTGTGTTAACTAAATACATCACTGACTTGCCTGATTGACCACATGCATATATACACCATTTTGTCAAACAGTGAGAAGTGATGCTGATTTCCATATGTAACTAGGGGATAGTATGCTTGTTTTTATGCAGTTACTGGAAATTAGATAATGAATTTTGTTTTAACATGAGATACAGTTGAATATTAAAACAACAAAATTCATGATCTTGTAATCCTGGTAAAATACTAGCCGCAATATACCATTCGGCTAGAGAGAACTTCTCTTTAGCTCGATTGGTTGAGCGTCAGACTAGTAAGCCAGGGGTCCCGGGTTCGATTCCTAGCGGAGGCATTGAAATGAAAAATGACCTCTGTTACATTGGTGCCCATGTAGGGACCCGGGAATATTACTTAGCCATGCCCCATCAGCATCGCTGTAACCCCTGGAAACTCGAGGACGAGTTATTTCCTGGAGGGGGGAGTATGTAACCCTGGTAAAATACTAGCCGCAATATACCACTCGGCTAGAGAGAACTTCTTTTTAGCTCGATTGGTTGAGCATCAGACTAGTAAGCCAGGGGTCCCGGGTTTGATTCCTAGCGGAGGCATTGAGATGAGATATGACCTCTGTTACAATCTAGTCTCCATTATCTTCATAAAAACAAGTATACTATCCCAATTCTAAAATAATTTGTGTCTAAAAATATTGTAATTATCGCAATATCAACAAAATTCAACAAAAACCAAGATCTGCACAATTTTGTTCAAAACTGTCCTTCACTTTGAGTTAGAAAATCAAAAAGTTGTCGAAAGTTTCAGTTAAGGATGTAGGTCAAGGAATATGAAAAGGCTGAAAATGTTTGTCGGTGTAAATTTGCTGTTTGAATTGTTGTTTATTTCATTTCATACCATAAATAGACATGTCTGTCTGTGAATGGTAAAAGTATTTGTTCACAAAAGAAGATCAATAACACAAAGGACATAGGGAAGAGGCATCAACAAGAATTTGTGACAGGAAACTCATCCAAAGTTGTCAGTGCATTTCTTTCAAATGGAGATTAGGACTTATGTATCATTTTCTACATGATTATCCAGTAGCAGACAATACCATGTGATGCAATTTCATTTTGTTGTGATATTAAGAACTGAAATTGATCCCAGGATTGAGAATATTGCCTACTTTTACAGTTACCATCTTTATCAACATTCTGACATTAGGCCTACATTCAAACTCACTAGAGGCAGAGAAATGTGATTCAGAATAATATGTCACAAATATTATCTGTGCTGTTCTCTCCCCTTCAAATCTGGATGACACATTTTAGTGTGTTGTAATTTCCCCAATATCAATATTATAAGTTATATGTTCCTACATGTGGCCTTTTCTGTTTGTTTTTTGATTTGCTGGATCATTGTGAAGTCAAGGATATATTCATACATAAAGATTTGTTGTAGTTTATATGTGTGTGTTTTTTCCCTACTTGGAAAGATCAAATGGGACTTAATAACAGGTCTGTTAGTAGTCCAGGGCAGTGGTTGTCTGAAGGAGTGTCCCACCATGTTCTTATATTTCGTTTGTGATACCTTACTTTACCTAATCAAAGTATCTTATTTAAAGTGTACCAGTAGTATCTCCCACTTCTTTTTATGGAAAAGATCAAGGTTGCTAATTTCACTGATCTAATGAAATATTAAGTGTACTTATTCCTGCTGTATCCAGCTGTAATGAAGTAATACAATTGATATGTAACATTTTTATTTCAAGTTCATTTTTTTTCTATTTAATTAACAAAAATCAAATTAAATCTTGGTCAACTCTTTTTTATTAAATTTTTTTCAAATAGATGACAATAATAAGCAACCAGCTGCCCTTCGACACAGAGACGACACAGAGGCGTAGACAATGTGTTATATACATCTCAGATTGTTTAAAGCAGCATGTAATATTGAGTACTCCTCAATAATCAATTGTTTGGTTCTTACACCAACAGTAAAGTAACAGTGAGTTAAAATCAGCCAATTTCTTCCAATGATTTTGAATTCAATTTTTTTTTATTTAACATTAGCTACTTTCAACCTCAGTGTTTATAAAACTTGTGTCAATGGTGTCAGACATATATACACTAAAATCTGTGATTACATTTAAGACGCAATATTTATGATAGTCACCTGGTGGTATTCATCGTTCCATAAACACCCTAGTGACTTCAAATTATGGTTCAGATGATAAATGATATAGCTGTTTGACTGTTTACAGATTAAAATACTCTGTTATGGTAATAATGGAGACAGGCATGTGTATACAGTAACATCAGAATAACTTGGGGGTGTACTATCTGTGTTTTTGTTTTGAATCAGCTGGTCATGTATTGTCTAGTTTAAAAAGATTTGTTGAAATGTAACAGTTATCAAGATGGCATTTTGGTCTTATAACTTTATCAAAGCTTGTTTTTATATAGGTGTTAGAACCAGTTTGATGGGTTTGGTTAAAGAAGTATACATATACAATTTTACACTGATAACATGAGACTCTTATAACCTAGGTATGTGTTACCCGAGGTTTGATTTAATCATGGAAGTGTTGTTTTGTGTCCAACTCTACAAGTATATTTAAATAATGTCCTTAAAGTATTGATTTATTTATCAGTGTATTGTAACTGTGTTTATGTGGAGATTTGACTTCCAACATTATTAAATGAAACCAAATGGTGAATTCAATGGGTTGTACACTACAAAAGCGTTTGGACACTATGCAGGTTTGTCAGGTTGTGATACAAACATGTCCTGCAACTGACCCAGAACAAGGAAATCAGACCACTGAGGAATCTGCAGGTAAATGGAAAACAAAAAGAGAGAAATTATTACTTAAAATTCTGTGTTTGATGTGGTTTGAAGACCTTGTAATAGATTTGAATTGCATTATTTTGGTTTTGATATGGTAATTTCAGGGGGTGGGGTTGGGAGGGAAGGAGGTGGGGGGTGGGGGTGGGGGAGTTGAGAAGAAATCATGAGGCTAGAATTCTGAAATTGGTTTATGCATTTTGGTGTTTGTCATCACAAATGTTGTACCAAAAAAATGTCTCTTCTAAATGTTATTGTGACAAGTTGTCACCACAGAGTTGAAAAAAGAATTGAACTTATTACCTGTTTGATGGCTAATTAAATTTCCCTTTAAACCCTCATTGGTTAATATTTGTACCAGTATATCAAAATTTACAAAGAAACTGCTTCAAAACACCGTTTAATATTTTGTCTAGTTTAATTTGTAACATATATCACTGTCAGTATGTGTTAATCAATCTTTGGACTTTATCTCAGTTTACCTGAGTTTAGATTTCTGACACTTTTAAGCTCTACTGACTTAAAAACATATTGATCAGTGTTAAAGCATTGCAGATCAAAAGACATTCACCTAGAATACCGTTTCAATAAAATCCATAATTTTGAATTTACTGCAAGTTTAATTTGAAATTTATGCAGTGAAACTTTATTTCAGCTGTGTCACTGGATAACTGTAAAAGTCACTGTAACAGAACCTAGGCATTTTTTTGAAAGGAAGAAGCATAGGTAATATTTATTTTGCCAGATCATAGGGACTTCTGATTCCTGAAGGAATAAGATTCAAAATGGCAAGAACACCTGGTTCTGCCTCAGCTCCAACAAATGGGTATAGACAGCCTAGCCTTGGTGATGTTAATCTTTAAGTTACACCCATTTAATGATTAGTTTAAATCTTGAAGTAGCCTATGAAGGCAAGGTATGACTATATAATTTTTGTATGACTACCAAATAATGTTAAATTTACCGGTTACCAATTCAGCTTTTACAGTAAAAGGTAATTGTTTTAACCAAATACGAAAACAATCAGATTTATTTTTCATTCCTCGTTGATAAGTTCCAATTTATTACATCAAACTACATGGTTATGTACATGTAAATCATGTATATATATTGTAGGTATTGAAGTTTTGTTTAAAACTACCGTTGATTGGAGTGTTCTACATAATGTGACGTCTTAACTTCAGTGGTATTGGTTACTAATCTGTGTGCACCTAATGATACATTTAGACTCATTAATATTGTAACACTGCTGTTGAGGAGAACATTAATAGCCAATTATACCTGGATTTTGGCACAATCTCGTAGGCACATTATAGTCTAGTTCATATATAGATTACAGTTGGGTAACAAT